CCATAGAGTATTATTAAAAACTGTACATGTGCAGTAGCTCCTCCGCGATGCAAAAAAAATCTGTTTTTAGTCAAAGTCAAATAATAATAAAATAATGCTTAATAAATAATGCTTACATCTCCTCCACTGTCTTTGAGGCCCAGGATGTTTGGATGCTGAGCGAGCTCCACCACGGCGTCCAAAGGCAGTTCTAAGCCCGTGTTGGCCGGCACGCTGTACAGAACCACCGGCACTGGGCTGCTGTCTGCCACCTGCAGGACAGGTGAGGGAGGACATGTTTAACTCCATTCTGACTATGACTTGGTTTAGCATCGTCTTCCCCAGAAGCTCCTTAGGATACATTTTTGCTGTAGCTCAAACATACAGCTTTATATCCGCTATTTTAGAAGCTGCCCTGCAATTAATGATTACAGTAAAGAGAATTTGACCTTAATGTTCACAAAAAGCAAATGCTGTCTTTTTTCCAATGAGAGATGCCATAGGGGCACAGTGGTGTTGCAAGGCAAGAGCTTGTGACCCATATAGAGGCCTTTGCTGGCATAGCCGCCCAGGGTTCCAAAGACAGAGACATTTGCTGAATGTCTTCATGCTCTCTCCACCCCATTTTCTTTGTAATAATAATAAAGAGGCCCTGATTAAGAATCTTTATTCTTCACCTCATCTGTACGCTGGTTGGTGTATGTCCTAGCTTTATGCCCCAGGTCATAATTTCCAAAAATGCATGACTTCCTGCTCTAAACCGGTTCGCTGACCTTTGAGAAATGATGAATTAGAGCGCGGCTGTCCATCTTGCCCTTGTAGAAGCAAGGGTTTACCACCAGGACTGCATCTGCTCCGGCCGCCGCCATCTTCTCCGTGAGCCGGAGTGTTGCTCTGGTGGCTGGAAAAAAAACACCAACAACTAAATTAAATAAAGTCAATTAACATTTCTGATAAACAAATGTTTAGAATTTTTGAAAATAAAAAAACGTAGTGATTTCACAATTTAAATAAATTGTAAATACCAAAAAGATGCATTAAATATATACTCATTTTTTTGTGTTCTATCTTAATTAAGGTAATTAAGGATCTAGTAGGTTATTCATTCACCAAATATTGTGTTTTAGTCTGTGTATAATTACTCTGGGTAAAAATTTGGTTCAATTACCAAATCGGTTGATGATTATTTCAATAATCAATTAATCTAATTAATCATCACACTCCTTTCTATAAGCTTGGATACTTACTTCAGCATTTCATATTTTATGTGAAGAAATAAGAGATTCGATACAGCTAAATGCCATTGATTATTATTTTTTTTATTTCTTTTTTATTATATAAAAAATTTATTTATATATAAAAAAAAATAAAAATAAAAAATAATTCAAATATCTGGAATCTGTGAGTTTGAGTTTGAACTGAGAAAGCTTCCTAAAGAGGTAGCAAAACATCTTCAAATCTTGGAAACCAAGTCCAGTGGATTGTTTTTTAAACCTTTACGGAATGACTTCAACCTGGATGACTGAGAATCTTCATCAGCATGCTCCGCTTTGTTTAAAAAAAAAAAATAGAAATATAAAAAATATAACCGCGGATGTCTGGGGGACAGTGATTCGCCTAAATGTTATGAATGCTGGCGTACCATAAATGATAAATTATGAACAGTTTAGTTTGTGCCTTCACCTCGTTGCCCATAGGAAGACGTTACTTGGATATAACCTAACGGAATATCTTCAGAACGGCTTGAAATGACACAAAACTCATATGGGTGAGTAGAAAATGATGTAATAACGTAAAATCAAGGGCCCAATGTAAAAAAAAAAAAATATGGTGTTCCCCTTTAAGGGCCAGCATTGGGGAGCCCTGAAATAAGGCGTTGGTTATACTTTTCACTGGTTTAACAACAGTATAAAATATAATTTTTTTGAAAATGAATCCCATTCCTATTTTATTGTGGGGACTTAAAACCCATTAACACATGTGGCCCCAATGGCGATGCTGACATCTTTCACATCCCCCTGAATCTTTTTATGGGGAGGGCTTGATGATGGTCGGTGGTTTATGAGCGCCGAGGCAGCCAGAGCATCTTTAAATATTCATTATTTAAAACAACTGCCTGCTCAGTGCAGCAGGCTGCAGCATCCCAGAGGTTACATTTTAATTAGACCGAAGACATCTGATGTTCAGAGTCGGCAGTAAGTCTGCAGCCTTACGCCCACTTAGGCATGTGACTACTT